GATGCATAAATATTTCTGATAAAGGTAGGTTGTGTACTTTTGTCCAACTGAGCAATCTTGCTTTCATAAAATATACCAACATTTTAATGACTGATGATTAACATGCTGTAATACACAGTTCAAAATTAAAGGCTCAAATGCTGTAAATGAGAGGTTAAGCTCCCCCTGGCGGTTTTACAAGGTGATGCCGGATACTTTCCAGCATGACGTCAAATGACGCGATCAACCGTGTGATACTGTGTGATACTGTGTGATACTGCGTGATACCACGACACGCCCACCGGGGTATGCCGCGAAATACCCCACCCATTTTGAATGGCTGCATCTGTACCTCCCGGGAAAGCTAAGGTTGCCGCTAATGAGGGGGCACACACCCTGCAGTCTGTGTGGGTTCTAATGCCCCAGTCTAGTGATGGGGACACTACACTGTAAAAAATGAGTATAGTGAATGAGATATAAAATCAATGTCATGACTCTCTCTGGTCATTGAAAATCCCAGGGAATGTCTTGAAATGTGTAGAAATGTTAACTCCGGTGTTCTGACCAAATTTCCCATCTGGTCTTTACCAATTATGGGCTCCTAATAATCCCTATGAATTACTCAACAAATCTCTATGAATTGGCTTCATAATCCTGTTCTCCTCCCTATTGATAACTGATGTGTGATAAGGGTACACATACAGTAGGCTACAGTTGCAGGTGGGTTCTTTACATTAGTGGTATATAGAGGTCCTCATTTCCTGTAGAGTGCTTTGATTGGAGTATCCAGAAAGGTGCTCTATAAATATAAGGATTATCATTATTATGAATCCCTCTTTTTTGAAACCTGATGTTTATGAATGACAAATCAACTAATTTGGTAATAAATCTATTATTATTATTATTATTATTATTATTATTATTATTATTATTATTATTATTATTAATCAGTAGCAGTGGTAGTAGTCGATACAGTTTGCTTTCAATATTTCTTCTTAAAAAGTGCCTTTAAATTTGGTGTAGATATTAAAATTGCATTGTACGTAAAAATGTGTATGCATTATGACAACATTCCTTAATTAACATTTGCAACTGCCAATGATTTCTATGGTGTGAAACATCATAAATTTTATTATTTTGTGATCTGCCTCGATGTCCATTTTCTCTGTTTTGAGTGGATTATGGTGTGGGTGTCAGGTATCATGTTTTTGCACCACAGTAAAATATTTTTGTATAAGATTCAAAAGAACATCGATATTCAGATGTACATGGTGTTAATTCATTGATTTCTAATGCATTAGGAAGTCTCTGACTTTAGTATCAACTACAGAATGTATCATTTGCATGTACTGTCTATGTCAATTTTAGGATCAAAAGGGAACAAAGATAAACATTCACAGATAAAAGGTTAGAAATTTGTTTTGATTAAGCATGCCTATTCTCAAGAGACATGTAAGCTGGAAATTTCAAGAATTAGGGAAATTAATTCTATAGCTCTTTACATATTACTCCAGGGAATGAAAGGAACTGAATGCTGGTCTCAGAACCTTTACTTTGATGTGCACATTTTGTTTTCAGGACTCTACTGTAAAAGAAATCTAAATGCTTAATTTGAATAACTTTTAAACACATAACAAACCAAGGTTAATTTTCCACTTCCAAATTATTCTTGTTCTTATCCTGTTATCGCATTAGTTGGATTACAGACTTGAACTGATCAAATATAAGGGTTTTTTTCCCATTCCCGTTTAGAAAACAACACATGTGGGTGTACTGTATGAAGATGAGAGTACAGTATAATCATATTTTAAGGTGTGTGATACAGTATGTGTGTTTACTATATATGATTTATACACTATTTGCTTTTTAAAATATATACCCCTCTTCACACTGTAGGATTGCCTGCTGTATATTGTAGGATGGAGTTTCATATACTCTCCATACCTATGGGCTGGTATCTTGTGGTTCCCTGCAATCAAGAGAACATCACACAGCTGCTTATGTTGAAGGTAGTTCTCCATCTTGCGGAATGTTTGCTCAGCATGATTCATAGCCTGGAAAAATTCATCAGAGCAGTTGGAGTTCATCCTGGAGTAGTTGCTTAGTGATAATCTGCAAAGCAGAAAATACAATGGCTAAGTGAAGTTAACTATTATCAGTTACTTTATAGAAAAAAAAACTGAAATCCTGTGAATTATTTTTTTATTTCTAATTCCACTTTCTGTTTTCAATTAATTTCAAAATACTGTAATTCATCACCAGGGAAATGTAAGCAGCAAGTGGTGCAACATACAAAACATGAGAAATAAAAAAAAACTTTACTAAGAAAACAATTGTATACATACAAAAACAACAAACAGAGTATACAAATGATTGAAAGTAACAGTATGTAATAAGTAAGAAGATATTAAAGTATATGCACATATGTAGACTAAATTTCCAAAAGTGACACTAAATTTCCTTTTATTTGTCTTGTACTATGAACAGTGAAAACATCTTCCTGAAGATGATTTAATGATTACTTAGGTCTTCCTCGGGATCTGCTGGACATAAAGCTGTGCCAGGGGTCTTAAAGGCTCACCAATGACTTTACAACTGAGGTTTACAACATTTTGGTTTTGACTTTAGAGTTTGAGTTTGAGTTAAGAGAACCAACAGATAAAAGAAAAAGTTAAAATACTTTATATAAAAGAGGTTTACAATATTGATATAATTCATTTTTGGATTCTTTTTCCAAAGGGACTCCATTTTCTCAGATATGTATAAGTGCTGCTGGGATTTCTTCTCAATGACATCAGTGTTCTTAGTGAACTTAAGTGTATTGTAAAACACAGTGCCCAGATATTGTAAATTCAAACTATACTATCACACCTGTTGACCAATAAGACCAGAATGGATCCATGTGTTTGTCCAGGCACTGAGAGAAGAGAGACTAAAACACACTGTCATCAGCAAATTTGAAGATATAATGATTTTCGTAGTTGGTCCAATAGTCTTCAGTGTACAGTGTAAGGGGAAAATTTCACGAAGCGTCTTTCAGGACCCTATGCAGATGGCAAAATCCAAAGGGGAGTAAGGAAACATGGGGAAAAAGACTAGGATAGGAGCTGGAAGAAGAACAGGGGGCATGTCCAAGGTGCGCTAGTGTTCGGGGGTGTGTGTTCCAAGGCCAACATGTCCAAAGGAGTCCGTGAGAATATCCTGAGAAAACCAAAGCTGGGTGATCCATCCTGATAGACCAGACAAGAGTTAAAAGCTGGAGCGGGATCCGGCGAAGGGTCAGGGGAATAAAAGGGGGTAACGGGGCCAGGCATTCCCAGCCCTGGACCCAGATGGTCAGAACGCCGTTGTGAAGCCTTTACCGTCGAGTCCCTCCTGGACTTGCTGGTAGTAGGCTGGGCAAACGATTTTTTAATTTTTTTTAAAAGAAATAAAAAATGAGATATAATAATGTGTTCCTGCTTAACTTAGACATTGCACGACTTTAAAACCTATATCTCGAAATGGGTTTCGAGAGTTAAAAACCACTTTTTATGCGCGAAAAACGGGTGATTTTTCTTCCTCGTGATCAGCTCAGAATCTCTGTGTACGCTGTAAGGTTTTTACTTCTTAATTAAACATTTAAAATACACGAATTTCATAAAGACAACACACGTTTCGAAGAGAAAAAATCCCATTCTTTTCTCTTCCTGTTGTGTGAAACTCATCAGCAAGTCTTTTTTTCCCAATCAGAGGCTCTGAAAATAGCGTACCGCCCACTGCGCACCGAGAGAGGGAGAAGGCGCGGAGCTCAGCAGTACAGAACAAACGTTCTACTGCCTGGAGCGCTTATGGCAGCGATCGCGTCTGCATTTATAACTTAGTTTTTAAAATTAATCAAGCAATATGAAGCATCTCTTTTTACTTTTAAGTCACTTAATTATCATTAAGCACAGCTTTCTCA